TTATGATGAAACGTGTGTTAAAATCTAAAATATGTTTTTTAAAGAAATCTAAGTCATTATAATTTACCCTATAACTTTGAAGTTAGAAATTTTCAACATAAATAACATTCCACTAAGTATTCCTAATAAAAATTCAGACTTGACTTACCTCATATAAGTAAAATAGAGTAAATACACGAAGTATACCCACATTCTAAAATACACCTATTTTACATTTGTTCTTTTAACGTATTGCAAGCTACATCCAAAATAACACACAATAAATCGTTGGAGATCCCTGTGATATATTTTATGAACCAGTCATTTTGAAACATTTATCAATCCTGAATGGTGTATACGTTTTTATGTAAGATAAGACGAGTATTCTAACGAAACCTTCCAGATTTTTTGATTTTTTACTGCACCTCTATAACTTACAAAAATGAAATTTACGACAAAAATTTAATTACACAAAAGTTTAGACAATCGTTCTTTTAGTTCATAGTGTTAATGCAAGTCTATGAAAATAGAAAACAATTAACAATATCACCTTAAAAACATAAATCTTAAAATAAGAAATAGCAATTTAGATATAATTAAAACAAGTTGACTGGTAATCGAAAATATTTTTTTAGGGGGAGGATAATTTCCATTATTGGGCATCCGAAATACACTGATACGTGTGCCGAATGAACGACTGCACGGCAAAGGCGTAGAACTCAAGATACGGAGGAGAGGAGGAGGACTTTGTGTCATTTTTCCTGGTTCATATCGTCATCGTTGGCATTCCTCTTGCCTTCATAAATTGACACTAGTTTTTATTTCACTCGAACACCACTACTCCACCGCCCGCAAACGTAACGCCGACTTTATCCAGTGCCAACAACATTATACTCACACGCATACATTACATACGCGTTCCTTACTTTGCCTCTCTAATATATTCATCGTAACAATAGACCTGCAAAAGTACAGTGTATAATAAATGTCGTACCGTGTATATTGAGAAACCATGTTTCACATCCGGTCAACGGAGTCGAAGCCCTCCCGGAGCCGTGGCGTCGTCGCCAGAGAGTTCTCTTTGTCGACACAGAAAATTATTCTGGCCCAGTTGTTAACGAGGGACAGTAAAGTTTATAGGCTGACTAATGCGCGACGGTCACACACCACCGTCTGCACGGGTCACGATTTATAGTTCCCTGGTCTAAAAACACCACACTTTGACCCTTCGATCCTTTCCATCGATGGTTTCAATAGTATCAATCCTGCAGACGAAATAGATACACGCATAGCAGATGAAGTTCAAAACTCGCCTCTGATTGCGTGTTAGTGTGTGAACTAATGTCACGCTTCTTTACTTATTCCTTAAAAACGTAGTGTCGCCCTCTTCGAGTATGACTGGGTATTTTTACAGTACTTTTTATACTTTTTTTTTGATATAGGTTTGCACACCAACAGCGGATTTATGCGTTAACAGTGTCATGGCCAGAAGTACTATAAGAGCTTTACGAAAGTTTTTTACAGTCTTTATATTTCTCGGCATATTCCGCCGCCGACTTGTTTTAAAACTGTCAAATGTAGACTATGGTTTCGTCCTTGTCAATATCGCTCACCACCTTAAACTGCCATGTCGGTCATTTTATATTTCACTTGGCATTTTGAGCCTCTGCGAAACAAAAATGCACGACTACTTTCAAGCTATTTGCACAGATCTCACCACATTCAATTATATAACAATATGCTTTACACTGTGCGTTCACGGCGATAGTGAAATTTTACAAAAGAAATTATATATTTCTCTTTTTTTATTAACACAAAAAACGATGTCATAAGACAAAAAAAATTATCGTTTTTGAAATGACGATGAAAAAAATCTAAATGCTAAAAAAATATATATTCCAAGACGGTCTGAGATACTATTAATTATAGGAAGATATTAGTATTGTATTAAGTGAAGGAAACGATAAGAATGCCTCGATTTGTATCATAACAACATTGGGAAAAATATTTTACAACTGTCACGATGCGAAGAGCCTATGGTTATAATACGGAACAAAGCGTTTTATATTTATTGTATATTATTGTGGAAAATTAACAAGAAAAAAAATCGAATTTTGAATTCAGCTTATTTAATAATAATAGTGTAAAAGTTTTTTGTTTTTTGATAACTCATAAATCAAATTTTGCCTTAGAAGTTGTCAAAATATAAAAAATCTTTAAAAGTTAATTAAACAAATTAAGTTTTCTTCGAAATTAATAGTAATTTATATTTTATTGTAACTAACACACGTTAATACGTTTTAAGCTTTAATTATTTGATTAATTATCATAAAAATAATTATATACTATATAAAAATTTTGAATATTGTTAAATATATGTATAAAATTGAATAAAATATATAAGACAAGACTATTTCCGAAAAGAGAAGACAATTTTAAACTCAAAATGTCAATATTCATTTCCGGTCATACAAATTAATTAGAATTTGTAAATCCATAAAAAAATGACACAAAAAAAAAACTTAAAAGTGGAACTCTAATAAAAAATAAAATAAAAGTATTGAATTTAATACATTCTAATTTTTTCCATTTTTTATTTCAAAAAATATATTATGTACTTAATAAGCATTTTAAAAAGCTATGTCTGAAGATTTTCAAAACTACTTGAACCGAAAAAATTGAATCCGCCGTAAAGTTTTAATTATTAAGCTGAAGCTGACAAGTAGATAACACTGACTTTTTTAATTATCTCGACATTACATGGATAAATTAACATTTTATCTTTTACACTCAACACTCAAAATGCTTTTTTGGCTTAAATCAAATTTCCTTCGAAAATATGAAGTAAAATGATTTTGTATGTGAACTACATATAATTGATATGCTGAAAGTATCATAACTTGATGAACAATATATGATAAGCATTGATTAATTCAATGGTAAAAAATTCCAAGAGAGTTCGGATTTACTATGAAAAAACGAAGAAAAATAGTTTAAATTATTTTAAGAAAGTTTAATTTTTCCATGTTTTTCCCAAAGATAAACACTTATTTTATTATTAAATTTCTTTCTTACTGAAAACGATATTTAAATATATCATGATTAAATGAACCTAAAGGAATTTGTTGTGAATGTCAATAAATTTTGTAATATATATAACATATAAGATAAAAGGAAACGTTTCAACAATGTTTGTTAAAAATAGAGATGGATTTTAAATACGAAAGACATTTGCTTATGTGCATTTACTCGTAGAAATTGTTACTAAATGTTATCATTTTGTTCTATTCGACAAATTTACACTAGATAAAAAATTATTTTTTTTTTCATTAAATGTTTGTGTTACGCGAAATCAAATACTTTAGAATACATTAGATCTCCGACTCTAAAATTTTTTTAAAGGGATAAAAAAGACATCAGTCTATTTATGATTTGTAATTATTTTCATTGGAATGATAATAATAAATTAACTTATCTTGTGTTTTTTCTTTTGTTTTTTTCTACAATCTTTAGATTGGTTCAATAACTTTAATGGATATCCATTGAATCCATCATGTTATTATCTTCAGAGCTCAATAATAGTAGTCTCCTCAAGCTTTCTGCATCGCAGTTGATACCAACAATGCCAGAGTTATCCTCTAGCTGTTGTCATCAAACCTTTCCATTTCTGTTAGATCCGCTCCCAAAATTGCCAATAGTAGATAATAGCGGTTACTATTGCCTTCTGTTATCTGCTTACAATCGCCTTTTCCAATAAAGGCGATAATGTGATGATAAGATAATGTGATGCTATTCTAACCCTAGACTACCGTGCGAAATTTCATTTTATCAATCATTTTTAAATTTTAGTCAAAAATAGTGTTTTATTTGTTTTGCTTAACATTGGTTAAATAGATTTCTTTTTATTTTATAATAATCAAAGAGTCCAGATAACAACTATTCAGCAAAAAAAAAAAAATTATATAGACGTAAATCTTTAATGTGTAGTTTTAGAACTTTTAAATCCTGTTCTAAAATTATGATAAAATTGACTAAGGCCATTTTCACCTGGTACCAAATAATTATTACTTTTTTTCACTAGTTTAAATTAAAAAAAAAAAGAATTTCACAATCAAGAAAAAAAAAATACGAACAATTAAGAACAAAAACTTTTAGTAGCAAAAAATTAGATATAAGTGTCACGACATCACTTTTATTTTAACAGATAGTTTGATTGTTCAAGTTTTGAAAAGGCATAATTAAAAATAAAAATTAATTTTATAAACAAAGGAATTGAAAGAAAAAAACCCTACTGTTAAATTTTATGAATTTTAATCAAGTTTTTTTTGTAAAAAAGTTCTTTGAAAACCTAGCAATGATTACATTTTGTATAATGTTGACATTTATACTTAAATTATTATATTTTTAATAGTTGAAGTTTAAATATTTACAAGTAAATAAAATATTAAAAATTTAACAATTAAATTTTACCACTATACAATTTAAGTCATCAGCGTTAAATTATCTTTGATTTCTTAATTTAGAGTAAAAATATGAAAAATCCATAAACTTTTAATAAATTATTATTTTGTTAAAATCATTTTTTTAAATTATTAATACCCTCTTAAATTACTTTCAAAACGTATTTTATTATTATTTATCATTAATAAGAAAAATAAATTAAAATAGTTTTTTTTATAAAAATTAAAAATAGCCATTTTTTAATATATTTTTTTTACAATAACATTTTAATGTAATAATAATTAAAATTTTTAAAAAGTTATAAATAAAATTGATATCATATAAACTCAAAAAAAAAATCACTATTATATTATTAATATATATGTATTTTTTTTTAGAAATAACTAATAAATTAAAAAAAAATATTGCTAGTTGTTTAAAGTAAATAATACTAAAAATTTTGTTTAAATATGACGAAAATGTTAACATAGAGCATTTCAAAAAATTGTTTTTAGTACGTTTTTTTATGTCATTATTTTTTTGAAGTAATTATGTTGATTAAAATATCTATTATAAATTTTTTAACACTATTTCTTTTGAATAATTTTGTTTCTGTTGAAAGTTTTAGCACTATAAATTGTTTTTATTCAAAATATATGCTTTATTACTTTTATACTGTACACCCTCATTTCAATCAAATTGTATCACATACACAAGTTGACATTAATAAAATTAAGGAATTTGAAGAAAAAATCAAATCTATGGGAAGTATTGTATTATCTATGCTTGAAAACATATATTATGATCATTTAAATAATCTGAAAAAAACACATTTAAATAAATCAAAATCCAATATAAGTGGTCCTTATTCATATGTATATGGTTTAGTTTTAGTGAATTTGTATTTAAATAATATGTTCGACACTTTGAAAATTAAAACGTTCAATGATATTGAAATTAAAAATGATGATGAAGAATTAAATGAATATGATATCTTTATAAAAGAATTCAAAAAAATATACGATGATATAATTTTTGTACTAAATCATTCAGTAAATGAAGAATGCTTTAAAAATAATAAATCATTAGAGGTGCCGGATAGTTTTTGCTACGATGAATGTGTTCCAAATGATTTGCCTGAATATGAATATTTAAATGAATTGTTGCCTGAATTAGATTTTTATGAAAGGAAAAAAGCTAGAGCTATGAAATTATTAGACAAAACTAGAGAAGAATTAAATATTTATTTAAGTGTTAAACCAGAACGAGAATTGGAGGCAGTTAAAAAGGTGCAAAACAATTTTCATCCATCTAAAATTTTACTATCTGGCTTGTTTATAGATAAAAGAAATGAGAGTGAAAAAGATTTATTAACTGGCTCCGTGGATCCTATGTATTTACTATATAATGTTCAGGTCAACGAAAAACTAGTGAACGGTAATTTCGCAAACATAGCAGTACTGTATAAAATGATTCAACGATATTATGATTTATTTTGCGTGATGGAATTTCAAAAACAAATTTTTGCTGCGACAATACACCCTTTATACTTATGGGTTGGATCATATGCACAAATAGTCAAACATATACTTTTTAACAAGGTCAAATATCCAAACGAAAATACAAAAAGAGCTGAAACTCATGCAACTCAATTGATTGAGATAAGTAGATCAGTTCAAACATTAATTAAAAATCTTATGGATCTAAAAATACTTCCAGATTCGTGTGACACTCATTTACAAGAGACTTTATCTCAAGTGGCAAAATTTTCATCAATTGACTACATTTTTGAATTAAAACTAGAAGACGTCGATGAACTCTATACAAGGTGCGCTAAAGCGATGGAAATAAACCGTTTGAAATTTAACAGTGAAATCAATTCTTTAGAAACATATAACAATGAAAATTGCGATAACATTTTAGAACGGTTGAAGAGTAAATACGTTGAACTTAACATATATGTAGACAATTTGAGTTTGTACAAAGAAGACTACAACTATATTCTTCAGCCGTCAACGAAACTGTTTGATTTTGAGGATATTTTTACCAGAACTAATTCATGCAATATCGTGGATAAAAATAAAAATGGTAATTGTTATTTAATTATTTCAACAACCCCTTTTATATAACAGATTATTTCAAAACTTAGTCATAAAGTAATTTCAGTTTTAATTTTTGTGAAATAAAACTACTATAAACACATTAGTTATATTCTAGATCTTATTACTACTAATTTTCTTTCGTTACAGGCTTCCATTTGTTTGGCAAAAACTAAGTACAACGAAAATAAATAAAATAATCACACGTAATTTAATTTAAAACGACAATATAGAAATACAATGTATCAAGTATTAGAAGATTAATTTACAAGTATATTAGTTTATTGAAAGGTCTAAAAGTTATTTAGAGAAACATATAATACATACTTCAAAGAATAGAATTAAATTTACAGTATTCAACTAAAGTAAATTGATTATTATATAATATTTAACGATTGATTTCGGTATTTTAAATAAATAAAATTAGTTCATAATTATCTACTACAAAAAGACTGAATCAATATCAATACAGTAGTAATAATGTGATAATGGAAAATAATTATAAATAATATTTCAAATTCAATGAAAACGCCGAACGATATAAATATTATAATAACAATGGTTTGAAATGTTGAAAATGACCTAGGGACTTTAATATTATCTACAGAAAGTGCGGGTGGATATTCGGTTTTATGCCAATAAACGTCCATCAATATTCCGGGGGCTTAACCAGTTCGCTGTAGCGTAAAAACGCCGAAACTGTGATTAAATGTTTCCAGACCATTAAATCCGGAGTATTTGTAAAGTAATTAGGCACTCAGGGACACCCCGAAGCAACTTACTACTGCCACCCTTCCATGTTTCTCTTTTTTTTTTCAGTGGTTGATTCAGTAACAATTGTATCTCGTTATTAAACCACCCACTGTAATGGATTTATACACAAAATAAGCAAATAAAATATACTACCACTATAAAAACCAACACTTTAGCAATCGTTCCACTGAGTTTCCAAGAAAAAATCTTCCCTTTTCATTATGAAAGATAATTATGTGGCCAATTTAAAAAAAATAATCGGGATATTTTTGGTGAAATACGAGAAGTCCTAAATTAGTAATATTGTTCATAATATTAACAATTGCATGTAAAAAAGAATGTTGTTATTTCGCAACGTCTATTACTCTGTATATAAATATTTATCCCAAGTGTTTGTTTTGCTATAAAATAATTTCATTTGCCATTTTTACCTTTTAATTTTTTTCATATTTATTTAGATTAAATCTATTTATTCATGCTTAAATACTTCAGCTAGAATATTCAATACTAACAATGTAAACGATTATGTAAATAATAGTAAATTAATTACTTATTCATTTAAGTCTAAGGAATATACAAATTTGCGACAAAAAAAAAAATAATTTTCTCATTAGTTTAAAACAAAATAGCAGCTTTGTTTACTCAAAATGAAAGTTAATTTAGAATTTCATTAGAATTTTATAATTTTATATGTTCTACCTATTTAGAAACTTAATAAAAAACTATTATTGACAACTTGAACTCTTAACAAGAAAATACTTAAATTTAAAATTAATTATTATACCAACGAAAATAAAATTTTCAATATAACATTAATTAATTTAGTAAAATAAGTATGTTTTCAAAATACACATCCCCTTTGAGTTCAAAATGTAATTTTTTGTTAACATAATTAATATTTAACACACGAATTTCATATTTTAACTATTATTATTTTTTTGTTTTTAACAGAGAAAATTTACAGTCATTATATAAAATAACAGTAAATTGAACAGATGTAATGTGTTCAATTTAAAAACGATATGCAAATATTGTAAAATATAAAAGTATTCTAATGATATACTTGAAAAATATGTCAATTTAATTATAATTAAAAAAAAATAATATATTTATTAATAAATATATATTATATAGTGTTGTTTCATGTCTCAAATAACTAAAATACATTTTATAATTATGTGTCTTATAAAGTTGTCTAATATATAATATTTCTATTGAAAATATAACTTATAATATTATGATTATATAGATAAATCTAACAAAAGATTAGTAAAAAAATACACTAACTTTATGTCATCTTTAAAAAATCTTCACTTTAATTAAAATTAATTTATATGGTACCAATTATTTTGATTAAAGTTCATATGGACATTGTTAAATATCATTGTTTTTAAATCCATCCGATGACATATATCCTATTAATACAAGATTTTTTTTAATTTAGCAGATTGTTAAAAAAAATCAATGAAGTTCGCTAATAAACATTCGAATTTTCGTAACAGTCAGAATTATAGTAGTCATTTCCGTAAAATTATCAATATTTAAATTTACAGATTTTCATTCATAGAAACTCATATTCCTAAATATATATATATATAATTCCTTTTAGATAAAATCAAGAGAATATAATTAATTAAATAGATTTACAATGAAATATCGATATTTGCATACTCATAACTTGTAAACTGAAATTTCTAATACTCTGAAAAAATTTTCATTTTTAGATAACTCAACTCACTATATAATTTTCAAAAATACATTTTTTATTACAAAAATTATATTTTTTTAACATTAGGTTTACAAGATGTAAATATTATTGAATTTAGGTAGCAGATTTAATTTACTAAATAAACTAAAAATTACTTAAAATATTGACTTATGGTATTTTATTATCCGAAAATATTATTTACAAAATTTTTATTTAATAAGTAAGTTATAAGAACAATTAAATTTGTTTCTGAAGAAAAAATGATTTAAAATATTTAAGTAAAAAATGTACTTAAAATAAAGTCATTGCCTAGTGTTGTTTCTAAGTATCCAATTAGAACATGCATCATAATTAATTATATTACATCAAAAACTCATCAAAAGTGGTTAATAAGTAAACTTAATAAGCAAAACTTTGTATTCAAAGATAAAGATTACCAAATAGGTCAAAAGGATTAATTAGGTAAGAACCTTTTCTGGTGCAACTGTAGATAGAAACTTTATCATTTGTTGACTACCAACTAATATTTTAGTTTAACACTTTGGTTAAGTTAGTAGACTGAGAGTTTTAATAGTAGACTTTATAATATCTACGCAACCAACATTTTCTTCCTTAAATTATTTTAAAATGATTAATAGGAATAATAACAATTATACTATGGTTTTTTGAAGCAATTGTCAAGATTTTTTAATGTCAAACAGATTTTTGTCAGATATTTTTTAGGTGTAGTGTGAAAAACAATTATTTTCTTATTATTTGTTGTTAGTATCGAATGTGGAAATTATTATCGCTCGGATAAAACTTCCAGATAAACTTTTTAGACAAAAATGACAAAACAATGGATAATATTCTTTAAAGTTTAATTTGGACACTTTTACTTTTAGAAAACTATGGGTTCGAAGAAATATCAGCCCTCGGGTACCATTACGTGTTTGTACTACTAAAATGGTCACAAGTTTTGACAGCAGACCATAAGTAGCTATAAAAGCATATTGGGTGAGTATTTGAGTTTTAAAACTGTCGCACAGGTCAGTTTAACCCCCTTTAATTTTTAACGCTTTTTGCTTGTTCATCAATCCTTGTTAAATATTAGTTTTATTTCTTTATTTGATCATGAATAACTCAACAGGTAAACACCAAATTTAAATAGAATTTTCACAAACTTTATTCAAGTTATCAGTTTAATAAAACAGTAAAATAATTTAATCGAGATATTGTAAATAATATTTTCCTTACCAGCTAGAAGCTGAAGATAACCAGCAATTTTGGCTGTGGACTTTTGAATAACGTGTGTCACACAGCAAGCAGAAATACTGGACACGGCTACTATCACTGTGATTGCAGTTGCGCTGCCAATAAGTACTGTACTCACTTGCCACCAGACACTCGGTATGTCATTAAATCTGAAAACATGTAATAATAGTATAAGATTTACTAAATACTATTAGTCATTTTAAATTTATAATGTGATAGCTTCACATAAAACTAAAGTAACCTTAATGATAGCGAATGGTTTGTTTTGTTATATGATATGAATTTTCACTTACATTTCCGGTTTTAAAAAGTTATAGAACTTTAATGTTACACTAGTTTGTAAAATAAATACAAGCAAAATTTTTGGTCTAAGAATAAATTCTTACAATGGTATACAATATGACTCATTGAGAATATTACCTCTCATTTTTAAATTAAATATTTTTTTCATAAAAATTTATAGATTAAAATTATTATTTGTATAAACAATAGTAAATATCAGTCTAAGTGTAGATTTTAAAAGTCACTATCGTTTAAATAAAACATTGCTTAGTCGATAAAAAATATTGAAATACAACGTTTTTAAAATTTTAGCATTTCGAAAAGGTGAGGAGCAGAGTAGTGTTTGGCGATACTATTTTTATCATAACACATAGATAATAATTCTTCTACGTTGTGCTCACTACTCGCCATAACTGAAAATTATATTAATTCAAAAAGTGATAATACAATACTGGTTATCGATAAGTAAAAATTTTATTTAACTTTGGAAAGTTAAATAAAACTCCTAAAATCTAACCGTAGAAATAAATGTTTCTTGCGATTAACTTGATATTTACTGCGGTTCATAAAATTAAATCAAATTTTAATCTACATTTTTTATAACAAAAACATTTTGTGAAAAATGGAGGAGTGGTATTTTTAATAAATCGCACTTAATAGTTTATGGAAGTTTAATTCATTTTTTTTTTTTACAATAAATTTTAAATATTTTTGAAATTAAATAACACGATAAATATTTATAAATAAATTGATTTATGTTCAGTATTAATTATTTCTTAATTTTTCATAATAATTATTTTAAATAAAATGTGTATAATAATATTGAATGACAATATAACACAGAGGATTAGGGAATGATTCGAAATGACAGTAAAGTCGATTATGCATTATTGTGAACACATTTACAGCTAGTTTGGTATTTCAATCGGCGCTTAACTGAAGTAACGTATGAAGTTTAAAGACAATAATTACTCTTGAAACTCTACAGACTTTGTATGATCTAAGAATTAAAATGACATAGAAACGTTCGCTCGATTAATATAACGAGTACAATATAACAAAGACTTCATAACTGAAGAAGACACACACGTGAACACAGCCCTTTGATTTCTTTGATTCGACTTACTGATGTGCCTTTAACACAATGGAGTTCCAACGTAAAACAATATATTAATTATTGTTCGGTTCCTATATAGTCTGATTTTATTGAAGGGAAAACGAATGTACAATGAGAAACGGTATCTCAGCTAACGTTTATGCTACCGTGTTGTATTTATAGCAGCAGTTTATACTCTTAGGGAGAGACAGCTTTGGCCAGAGGGGTATTATACGAAGAAGAAATTAATATCGGCGTTGTTCATATTGAAAAAGAATACAAAAGGTTTTCCTCAGGCAACAAAACTCCAGTTTGTATACACCATTGAGATCAGCTGAATATTTTCAATAGGATACCATACACAGTAATACATATATAGAAAATATTTCGATTCCAAGATTTCATATATTTATAGAGGACGTTCCCTTCCAACAAATGAATAAACATGAATACAAACGAATATCCTAAATAACAGGCTTATTATAAAAAATTTACAATACTATATAATATAAATTAATCACTACGTGTTATTTAAATGATACGTTATTCACTTTTAAGAGTAGAACCATTAAAATAATCCATAAGGAAGTACACAATTTTCTTAATACGTACGTTGAAAATGTTGAAAACTTTCCAATAAACTTATTTAAAATTTTAACTTTGTAAAAAGACGTGTGTTTCTAGTTACAAAATAAAATTTTCATATTCAATTTCATTTTTACTTGGCTTGAGTCTACTGTACGAGATTTAATTTAGTTCACTATATATGTATGCTCACTTATAAAACCGTCATTTAACTTTTAAGAAGTCAATTTTGATATTAAGCGTAACTATATTTTAGCATTTACTATAACTCTAACCTTGGAAGCCTATAATTTGTGCTAAAATACACAAAATATACAGGATGATTAATTAAACATATAGCCCTTCCCCTTAATTCAATCGTTATATGATGATTCATTATTTAAAATCAATTTAGTAAAATTTTATTTAATTTTATGCACTGCAGTAAATATCAAGTTAATTGTAAGATATAATTATTTCTACGGTTAGATATTATGAGTTTTATTTAATTTAAAAAATAAGAGGTAGTATTCCTAATAAATTTTACTGTGTACCATTTCAAGAATTTATTCTTTGGCCAAAAATTATGTTTGTATTTATTTTACAAACTAGTGCACCATTAAATTTCAATAACTTTTTGAAACCGGAAATGTAAGTGAGAATTGATATCATATAAAAAAAACAATCCATTCGAAAAAGATTACCACAATCCTCACCTTTTCTAAACCTTAAAATGCTCATATTTGAAAAATTATTAATGTAAAACAGGTTATCGATCAGACAACATTATATTTACACCATTTTCCGTTAAACAGTTATAAAATAATAATGGAGGTGCTCATTGAACTTTACCCCAGAAATATATCTTTTGGATTATATTTTTCTTAAAATAAACTTTACATATACAATGGTTTATGAAAATTGTTATCTATAAATTACTATGAAAAAATTATTACTCAACGAGAAATGAGGGATAGTACGCTTAATAAATCACTCTGTATGAAAGATGCGTGAAAAAATTTCTAAGAGGTACTTAAATTATATTTCATAAACAAATAAGCACGTTATGAGAAAACCTCAGCACTTTTTGATCAGACATCTCATCATATAAATAATGTTTTTAAATTCTTCAATAATTTTCAAAAAAAGACTTTTTATAATCATTTTGGGCATACGCATGATTGGAATAATTAACAATATCTTTTATATGATTGCCATTTAAAACAACAAAAAAGGTTAAAGAGGTGTTTTACATCAAGTTTATGAGTAATGATACTCGATATAGTGTTCAGCTATAAAATTGCTTTCGCAAAAGTTAGAGTTTCCAACTCAATTTGTTATCTTGTTAGTTCAATATTGTTGAGCGTCAAATAATGCGGATATTCTTTGGAAGTACCCTTATTTTCACGATCAGTATGATGCCATATCTTAAAATAACATTTAAACTACTGAGTTTTGAACAAATTCGTTATGAAAGTTTTAATGAACGAGTTGAAAGTAAAAATACAGAAGCATAACGATCAAGACGTGTTATCGGGTCAATAACTTATTGTTATCTTCGAATTTTAGTTAATATTTGCATTTATTCGCTCTCACTCAGTCATATTTTGATAAAATACATTTCGAATTTCCTAAGGGTATTTATAACTACAATAATATTATAATACTTCAGTTTAAACCGTTTATTTTAAAATTATAAAAAGGCTTAGCCAGTGTTTCATATCGATTATATAACAAAATTTTAATATTTCTGTTTTCATTTTTATCGCATAGAATTAAATAAGATATTAAGATAGAATAATTGCATTTAGAAAGTTTATAATTTAATAATATGATCAGCTTATTGCATGTTAATATTGTTTATACTGTAATTAAATATATTTGATATAATAATTTACAATTTTTTTTTTTTTTAGAGTTATTATATACACGTATTGTAATTAGTATTTTCTATGATTTTAATAGTACTCTATAAACCAAAACGAATATAAAAAATCGAATATATAATTAATTAGAGCAGTAAATGAATACATAAAAAATACTGTTACACATACATGTGTATATTGTATTTAATATAAGAGAATTTAACAGCAAATGCAATCATCACTGAATGTTTTATATAGTACATCTAAAGTCGTGTCTTTGAAACAATTTTCAACTATTTACAAGCTTTATTTTGTAATTATCCCAAAAAGGTTTTACTTGCTTAATAACTTTCTAAAAAACGTAAGTTTAACAAAGTTTTTTAATTCTTAAAACTATAAAAATACAGTGTTGTTTTTTAATTACCTGCTCTGATTCAATTTACGATTTTTCAATCAAACGGATAATGCAACATAATTTTAAGAAAGTTTGATTATTGTTCTAATATTTATCATTCATTAGCAATCACCCAGTTCGAAAATAAATCGATAAAACTTTTACACTGCTGTTAATTTAAAATGAATTCCGTTATGGTTCAGTCGTATGGTTATAGATATAACATAATAGTTTTAGGAAGTTATTTTACTGGCGTCTGATAAGTTTTACTCAAAATTTCTGAAATTATAATTTAGTTTAACTTGACGATAGACTTTTTAGCAAAGTATTGTTGTATGTATTTTCCTCCATTCGGTGGCACTAGTCCAAAAAGTTTGTAATTACCTACGAACTCAATTTGTTTACTGCATATTATGTTAGATTTATGATACGATTGGAATTTTTAATAATAGATTTTTTTTTACTGATATCAACAATAAATACAGAAGAAAGTACTACTCGTATCAATGTAAACTAACAATAATTGAACTAATGCGATCAAATTTAATAGTATGAACTTTTTTACAAGGGCGTTGTTAAAAGTCTTCGTCAAAATAAAAATATTGCAACATTTTGTAAATATAAATAAAGATTTGTTAATAATTGGAGCGGGAATTCGAAAGATATCAATGATTCATAAATTTAGTACATTTTACAGAAAAATAAAAAATTGTAATTGTACGGGATACCTTACATAAAACATGAACAATTACACGGTGATGATGACGACATTTCAGAACTGAAGTCATAAAGTGATAAGACACTGTACTAGGAGTGTTGTCTTATGCGAAATTCATAGACAACGGCACGTGATGGGTTTCTAGCGTAAAATATCGCATTTGTATAAACAATATTAATATCTCAGTTAAAGTGTTCGTATATGCGTTTGTGGGATAGCCGAGTTGTCAA